ATTTTTTTATATTTATTTTACTTGTTTGTTTTTCTTTTTGTTTTTTTGCTCACTCTCACTAGCTTTTAAAGGATAAACAAAGGACTAATGCAGCACAATAATAACAACAAACAGCAGGAGTCGTAGCACAGACAAGCCACAATTACTGTGGGTACGGTCAGTGGCACATTTTCTCCACCACCCTTTTCTTAGTTTTGTTTTTGTCTTTACAAAGAGAGCGGAATTTTATTTTAACGAAGAAAACTTAACGAATGCTTTTGTTCACCAAAAAAAAAATAGAATTCCTTTAAAACTCGTGCTCATACTTTCAATGTTGATTAAAAGGCAAAATGTTGGGAAAAAAATTGTTGACACCTTTTTTCCCTTTACTCCCTATTATTAAAAACAATGGAAATTTTTCTTTAAAAAAACTTTTTCACTTGCTTCATTTGTTTTAAATTAAAGAAATCTTATTTATTTATTATTTTACCATTACAATTAAACAATTTTCAACATTTTTCTTTTCGTTTTTATCAAAATTTTCCTTGCAAATTTTTCTTTTACCAATACACACATTTACAGCGTCAAACACACTCACACTCCTCAACACATTTCACTTTAAATAACAAAACATTTATTATTTCATTGCGCTGTTTAATTTTGCCTTCTAAAAACCATGTCCTTTCACTACTCAACGCTTATTGCAACTGTGTGTGGTAAAAATTCTATTTGCCACACTTAACACGGGATGAAATGCCGCAAAAAAGCTTTTTTTTTTAACTAAAAAGAAAAGCTTTTTTAACGAATTGTTTAGTTTTTCTAGATGTGGCAAGGCTGTAGGGTGAGCGCAAAGGAAATGAAAACAAAAACTAGCGGAATTTTTAATCATATAAACAAAACAAAACAGAGATGCCATGATATTGTAAATAAAACAGTTAAATTTGTGTAATATTAAACAAATGGCAACGCTGTTCTACTAGACTATAGCCTTGACTATAGACTGGACTATAGACTAGACTATAGACTAGACTATAGACTAGACTATAGACTAGACTATAGACTAGACTATAGACTAGACTATAGACTAGACTATAGACTAGACTATAGACTTGACTTTAGATTAGACTAGACTATATACTAGACTATAGACTAGACTATAGTCTTAACTTTAGACTAGACTATAGACTAGACTATAGACTAGACTATAGACTAGACTATGGACTAGACTATAGACTAGACTAGACTAGACTATAGACTAGACTATAGACTAGACTATAGACTAGACTATAGACTAGACTATAGACTAGACTATAGACTAGACTATAGACCAGACTATAGACTAGACTATAGACTAGACTATAGACTAGACTATAGACTAGACTATAGACTAGACTATAGACTAGACTATAGACTAGACTATAGACTAGACTATAGACTAGACTATAGACTAGACTATAGACTAGACTATAGACTAGACTATAGACTAGACTATAGACTAGACTATAGACTAGACTATAGACTAGACTATAGACTAGACTATAGACTAGACTATAGACTAGACTATAGACTAGACTATAGACTAGACTATAGACTAGACTATAGACTAGACTATAGACTAGACTATAGACTAGACTATAGACTAGACTATTGACTAGACTATAGACTAGACTATTGACTAGACTATTGACTAGACTATTGACTAGACTATTGACTAGACTAGACTAGACTAGACTAGACTATATAGACTAGACTATAGACTAGACTAGAACTAGACTATAGACTAGACTATAGACTAGACTATAGACTAGACTATAGACTAGACTATAGACTATACTATAGACTAGACTATAGACTTGAATTGGCGTAGACTGTAAACTACACTATAGAGTAGACTATTGACTAGACTATAGACTAAACTTTAGACTAGACTATTGACTAAACTATAGACTAGACTATGGACTAAACTATAGACTAGACTACACACTAAACTATAGACTAGGCTATAGACTTAACTATAGACTTGAATTTGGAGTAGACTTAAACTAGACTATATACTAGACTATAGACTAGACTATAAAACTAGACTATAGACTAGACTATATACTTGTCTTTGGAGTATACTATAAACTAGATTATAGACTAGACTATAGACTAGACTATAGACTGACTAGACTAGAATAGACTAGACTATAGACTAGACTATAGACTAGACTATAGACTAGACTATAGACTAGACTATAGACTATAGACTATAGACTAGACTATAGACTAGACTAGACTAGACTATAGACTAGACTATAGACTAGACTATAGACTAGACTATAGACTAGACTATAGACTAGACTATAGACTAGACTATAGACTAGACTATAGACTAGACTATAGACTAGACTAGACTATAGACTAGACTAGACTATAGACTAGACTATAGACTAGACTATAGACTAGACTATAGACTAGACTATAGACTAGACTAGACTGTAGACTAGACTATAGACTAGACTATAGACTAGACTATAGACTAGACCATAGACTAGACCATAGACTAGACTGTCGACTAGACTATAGACTAGACTATAGACTAGACTCTAGGCTAGACTATAGACTAGACTATAGACTAGACTATAGACTAGACTATAGACTAGACTATAGACTAGACTATAGACTAGACTATAAACTAGACTATAGACTAGACTATAGACTAGACCATAGACTAGACTGTAGACCAGACTGTAGACTAGACTATATACTAGACTATAGACTAGATTATATACTAGACTGTAGACTAGACTATAGACTAGACTATAGACTAGACTATAGACTAGACTATAGACTAGACTATAGACTAGACTATATACTTGTCTTTGGAGTAGACTATAAACTAGATTATAGACTAGACTATAGACTAAACTATAGATTAGACTAGACTATAGACTAGACAATAGACTAGAGTATATACTATACTATAGACTAAACTGTAGGCTAGACTATAGACTAGACTTTTAAAGAAATTTCTTATAGTTTCATTAGAAAAATATCGTTTTACCAAAATAAAGCAAAAACAACCCCTTTTAAAAAGTTTTTATTTAAAAAATATATTTTTATTAATTTTTTCATAATTTTATTTTATTTTTGCAACAAACAAATTTTTTGTTATAAATTAAATCCAACAAGTCCAATAAACTTAATACAAAATAATTATGAAATATTTTTATAATTAATGAATTTTGAATAATAAATTTTTACAAAAAACAAAAAAATGTAAACAAATGAAATAATGTAATTTTTGTACAAAATTTTCTAAAAATTAATGAAAAATCTGGATTTTATTTTCTTATACAAATGAAACCATGAATTTTGTACAAAGAAAAAACACGCGAAAAATTAATGTCTTAATGAAAAAAGCACCTAAAAACTATTGTGTTCTATTTATCCAGTTATTATTATTTCCATGCCATTTATAAGAACCATAATATTTAAAATTACTCTCACTACACTTAACATCGGCCTCTTTGGGACCGCGAGAACCGTACTTATAAGGTATAGGTTTCACTTTGTTATTCTCAATTTGATGTAAAATGGGCGTGAAAATACGCCAGGCTTCGCGCAACTCATCGGAACGTACAAAATGCATTTGAGAACCACAGAAAACATCTAGGATTAAACGTTCATAGGCATCGGGTAAGTAGGAATCTCGGTAGCGATGTTCATAGGTCAAATCCAATTCGGTTTCTTCAATATCGAATGTAATGCCCGGGGATTTGGTCATCATTTTGAAATACAAAGCCTCGCCCGGTTGGACACGTATTACCAATTCATTACGTTTAGTATTACCCTCGAATATATCGCCGGGTATGTCCTGGTATTGGATGCGTACCTCTGCCTTACGTTCATTCAAAGCCTTGCCACATCTCAGTATAAAGGGAACCCCCTGCCAACGTTCGTTATTAATCTTTAACACCCCCAAGGCATAGGTGGGTGTTGTGGAATTGGGATCAACAGTAGGATCATCTAAATAACCTTTTAAAGCTTCACCCTGACCCTCGGGATTACCTATATATTGACCCAAAACCATATCATCTAACGTTAACGCGGGTATACTTTTCAAAACCTTAACCTTTTCATCTCTTATGTCGTCGGGATGACAGGTAACCGGTTTTTCCATGGCCACCAAAGATAATATCTGTAAAAGATGATTTTGCATAACATCACGTATAATGCCGAATTCATCGAAATAGCCACCACGTCCCTCGGTACCAAAGGGCTCTTTAAAGGTGATTAGAACCGAGGCTATGCTCTCACGATTCCATGTGGCACCCAATATCTTATTGGCAAAACGTATAGTCATGAGATTTTGTACCATTTCTTTGCCCAAATAATGATCAATACGATAAATTTGTTCTTCGTGGAAGAGAGAAGCTAAGTGATCGCTTAAATGTTTGGAAGATACATCATCACGGCCAAAAGGTTTCTCAATAATAACACGATTCCAACCTCTGTTAATGAAATCAAAAAAATACTACGTTAAAGATCATACGATTTGAGAATTTCTTTTAAATTCACTTACTTTTTCGATAAACATATCTCCTTAACATGTACGGTTACACTATTGAACACTGATGGCGGCAACGCTAAGTAGAATATACGATTTGCTATTCCTTTATTTTCCATAGCCTCCATTTGTTGCTGTAGCATTTCGAAACCCAAACGACCATCATAGTTACCCGATACATAATCATTTAATTGCCAGAATTCTTCATAGCGTTGCTGTTCATGGGGTTGGACCTGTAAATGGGGGGAAAAAGAAATAAATTTTAGTCGATCATTCAAATAGACTAGACTATGAACTAGACTAAAAACTAGACTATAGACTAGACTAAAAACTAGACTATAGACTAGACTAGGGACTACACTGCAGACTAGACTATAAACTAGACTATAGACTAGACAATAGACTAGACAATAGACTAGACAATAGACTATACTATAGACTAGACTATAGACTAGACAATAGACTAGACTATAGACTAGACTATAGACTAGACTATAGACAAGACTATAGACTAGACTATAGACTAGACTATCGACTAGACTATAGACTAGACTATAGACTAGACTATAGGACTAGACTAGACTATAGACTAGACTATAGACTAGACTATAGACTAGACTATAGACTAGACTATAGACTGACTATAGACTAGACTATAGACTAGACTATAGACTAGACTATAGACTAGACTATAGACTAGACTATATAGACTAGACTATAGACTAGACTATAGACTAGACTATAGACTAGACTATAGACCACTAGAGACTAACTATAGACTAGACTATAGACTAGAACTATAGACTAGACTATAGAACTAGAACTATACTAGACTATAGACTAGACTATAGACTAGACTATAGACTAGACTATAGACTAGACTATAGACTAGACTATAGACTAGACTATAGACTAGACTATAGACTAGACTATAGACTAGACTATAGACTAGACTATAGACTAGACTATAGACTAGACTATAGACTAGACTATAGACTAGACTATAGACTAGACTATAGACTAGACTATAGACTAGACTATAGACTAGCTATAGACTAGACATAGACTAGAACTAAATAGACTAGACTATAGACTAGACTATAGACTAGACTATAGACTAACTATAGACTAGACTATAGCTAGACTATAGACTAGACTATAGACTAGACTATAGACTAGACTATAGACTAGACTATAGACTAGACTATAACTAGACTATAGACTAGACTATAGACTAGACTATAGACTAGACTAGACCTAGACTATACTATAGACTAGACTATAGACTAGACTATAGACTAGACTATAGACTAGACTATAGACTAGACTATAGACTAGACTATAGACTAGACTATAGACTAGACTATAGACTAGACTATAGACTAGACTATAGACTAGACTAGACTATAGACTAGACTATAGACTAGACTAGACTATAGACTAGACTATAGACTAGACTATAGACTAGACTAGACTAGACTATAGACTAGACTATAGACTAGACTAGACTAGACTATAGACTAGACTAGACTAGACTAGACTAGACTAGACTAGACTAGACTAGACTAGACTATAGACTAGACTAGACTAGACTAGACTAGACTATAGACTAGACTATAGACTAGACTATAGACTAGACTATAGACTAGACTATAGACTAGACTAGACTATAGACTAGACTATAGACTAGACTATACTAGACTATAGACTAGACTATAGACTAGACTATAGACTAGACTATAGACTAGACTATAGACTAGACTATAGACTAGACTATAGACTAGACTATAGACTAGACTATAGACTAGACTATAGACTAGACTATAGACTAGACTATAGACTAGACTATAGACTAGACTATAGACTAGACTATAGACTAGACTATAGACTAGACTATAGACTAGACTATAGACTAGACTATAGACTAGACTATAGACTAGACTATAGACTAGACTATAGACTATAGACTAGACTATAGACTAGACTGTTGACTAGACTGTAGACTAGACTAGACTAGACTATAGACTAGACTACTATAGACTTTCCTATAGACTAGACTATAGACTAGACTATAGACTAGACTATAGACTAGACTATAGACTAGACTATAGACTAGACTATAGACTAGACTATAGACTAGACTATAGACTAGACTATAGACTAGACTATAGACTTGACTATAGACTAGACTATTGACTAGACTATAGACTAGACTATAGACTAGACTATAGACTAGACTATAGACTAGACTATAGACTAGACTATAGACTAGACTATTGACTAGACTATAGACTAGACTATAGACTAGACTATAGACTAGACTATAGACTAGACTATAGACTAGACTATAGACTAGACTATAGACTAGACTATAGACTAGACTATAGACTAGACTATACTAGACTATTGACTAGACTATAGACTAGACTATAGACTAGACTATAGACTAGACTATAGACTAGACTATAGACTAGACTATAGACTAGACTATAGACTAGACTATAGACTAGACTATAGACTAGACTATAGATAACTAGACTATAGACTAGACTAGACTAGAGACTAGACTATAGACTAGACTATAGACTAGACTATAGACTAGACTATAGACTAGACTATAGACTAGACTATAGACTAGACTATAGACTAGACTATAGACTAGACTATAGACTAGACTATAGACTAGACTATAGACTAGACTATAGACTAGACTATAGACTAGACTATAGACTAGACTATAGACTAGACTAGACTAGACTATAGACTAGACTATAGACTAGACTATAGACTAGACTATAGACTAGACTATAGACTAGACTATAGACTAGACTATAGACTAGACTATAGACTAGACTATAGACTAGACTATAGACTAGACTATAGACTAGACTATAGACTAGACTATAGACTAGACTATAGACTAGACTATAGACTAGACTATAGACTAGACTATAGACTAGACTATAGACTAGACTATAGACTAGACTATAGACTAGACTATAGACTAGACTATAGACTAGACTATAGACTAGACTAGACTATAGACTAGACTATAGACTAGACTAGACTATAGACTAGACTATAGACTAGACTATAGACTAGACTATAGACTAGACTAGACTAGACTATAGACTAGACTATAGACTAGACTAGACTAGACTATACTAGACTAGACTAGAGACTAGACTAGACTAGACTAGACTAGACTAGACTAGACTAGACTAGACTAGACTAGACTAGACTAGACTAGACTAGACTAGACTAGACTAGACTAGACTAGACTATAGACTAGACTAGACTAGACTATAGACTAGACTATAGACTAGACTATAGACTAGACTATAGACTAGACTATAGACTAGACTAGACTATAGACTAGACTATAGACTAGACTATAGACTAGACTAGACTAGACTATAGACTAGACTATAGACTAGACTATAGACTAGACTATAGACTAGACTATAGACTAGACTATAGACTAGACTATAGACTAGACTATAGACTAGACTATAGACTAGACTATAGACTAGACTATAGACTAGACTATAGACTAGACTATAGACTAGACTATAGACTAGACTATAGACTAGACTATAGACTAGACTATAGACTAGACTATAGACTAGACTATAGACTAGACTATAGACTAGACTATAGACTAGACTATAGACTAGACTATAGACTAGACTATAGACTAGACTATAGACTAGACTATAGACTAGACTGTTGACTAGACTGTAGACTAGACTAGACTAGACTATAGACTAGACTACTATAGACTTTCCTATAGACTAGACTATAGACTAGACTATAGACTAGACTATAGACTAGACTATAGACTAGACTATAGACTAGACTATAGACTAGACTATAGACTAGACTATAGACTAGACTATACACTAGACTATAGACTAGATAGATTATAGACTAGACTATAGACTAGACTATAGACTAGACTATAGACTAGACTATAGACTAGACTATAGACTAGACTATAGACTAGACTATAGACTAGACTATAGACTAGACAATAGACTAGACTAGACTAGACTATAGACTAGACTATAGACTAGACTATAGACTAGACTATAGACTAGACTATAGACTAGACTATAGACTAGACTATAGACTAGACTATAGACTAGACTATAGACTAGACTATAGACTAGACTATAGACTAGACTATAGACTAGACTATAGACTAGACTATAGACTAGACTATAGACTAGACTATAGACTAGACTATAGACTAGACTATAGACTAGACTATAGACTAGACTATAGACTAGACTATAGACTAGACTATAGACTAGACTATGAGACTAGAACTATAGACTAGACTATAGACTAGACTATAGACTAGACTATAGACTAGACTATACACTAGACTATAGACTAGACTGTTGACTAGACTAGACTAGACTAGACTATAGACTAGCCTACTATAGACTAGACTATAGACTTTCCTATAGATTAGACTATAGACTGACTATAGACTAGACTATACACTATACTATACACTACACTATACACTACACTATACACTACACTATACACCACACTATACACTACACCATAGACTACACTATAGACTATATTAGATTATCATACTCTATAGTAGTTTATTGCTCAGAGTATTGTAAAGATTATAAACTAGACTATAGACAAGACTTTAGATTAGACAGACTATAATTGTAAAGGTTTTAAGCTAGGCTACTATCCAGACTATAGACTAGTCTATTATACAGACTTTAGTTCGAACTGTAGTGCTACTTATAGACTAGTCTATAGTATGGAATATAGTCAATTCTGCCAGGCAATAGATAGGTCTATTGACCTGACTTTAGTTTGCACTATAGTCCTACTTATAGACTAATCTATAGTCAAGAATATAGTCAAACAATAGGCCTGTACATATAGCGGAAAATTTCACTTGTTTAGCTCTATAAAACTTTAATTTTGCTTGTCATTTGGTGCACAAATCATACGATTAAGAAAATTTCTATAATTGAACCTATAGAATACAAATGACTTTACAGTTGTTGTTTTTAAAAAAAACGCTCATTATATGAACAAAATAATGCACTTTATATAATAAATTATTCACACAATTAAGTTTATATTTAAAAATTAATGTAATTAGGGAACTTTAACCTTAATTACAAAAGGGGAAAAAGAAACACTTACCTTCATATATTTCTCACACGATTTGCGTACATCCAAAGTGGTTAACTTAGAACGGGGCATAACCACAAAATCTAGTGGGTTTAGGCAAGAGATTATCACGATATAACCACCATAAAGTGGGATAAATTTTCTTTTTGGCCAAATCACCCGAAGCGCCAAATATTACAAAAGGTGTGAGGTATTTGGCCATCGAAATGGTGCCCTCACAGACCATAGTGGGAGATTTTAATGACTTAATAATACGTTCCAGGGCTTCTTCGTGGGAATTATCGTGGTGGCCTGGAAAATAAAATTAATATTTTTTGTACCTATGTATTAATTATACAAAATATTTAAGAAACCAACAATTAATTTTATTTTTTATTTATTAATGACTTTTTGAACGTTGTTTATCTGACGATGTTATAGGAAAGACTAAAATCTTAACCGAGCTTGACTTTGAAAATTTATAATTTAATTTTGTCTCTTTTTATTGTTTTCTTCGCTCCCTTCCTATTAGAAATGCACTCATATAGAACAACATGGAAGGTAATTTTAAAAAATTGCACTCTAGTAAAAAAGTCGTTTTTTTGTTTTTACTTTTTCTAAAAAGTTTGTGTTTTGCGCAAATTAAAATTAAAAAACTATGGAAAATGTCATATTATAGCATGACAATTAATTTATTCAAGTATCTAAACACTTATACATCTTTAAATAATAATTAAATGCATTTAATTGCTTTGTATTGCAACTATCAAGTCATTGCATTACGAATTTCTACTTCTTCGTTTGTTTTTGCAAAATCTCAACAACAACAACAACTACACAAACCCTTCATAGCAAAAGCAATAACAATTTGAAAGTAAATAAAGAATGCGTTTAATTGTATAGAATAAAAGTAACTGATCTTTTGTTTACATTGCTCTTTAGGGCAAATAAATATGTCATTTAGTTGTTGTTGTTATTGTTATTAATATTGTCATCAATTTTTAATGTACGCAGTTGCTAATATTTGGTATGATTATTTTTGGTAAAGGTGAAAAATTACGGTTTTTATGAAGGAAAAATGTAACAGAAACAAACACTGGGTCTAGTGTATAGTCTAGTCTATAGACTAAACTAGAGTCGATATTCCAGTCTTCAATCTAGTCAATAGTTTGTTCTATTATATAGTCTGTGGTATAGTATATAGTTTAGATTAAAGTCTAGTCTAAAGTCTAGTCCATAGACTAGTCTACCCAATAGACTATAGTCCAGTCTATAGTCTAGTCTATAGTCTAGTCTATAGTCTAGTCTATAGTCTAGTCTATAGTCTAGTCTATAGTCTAGTCTATAGTCTAGTCTATAGTCTAGTCTATAGTCTAGTCTATAGTCTAGTCTATAGTCTAGTCTATAGTCTAGTCTATAGTCTAGTCTATAGTCTAGTCTATAGTCTAGTCTATAGTCTAGTCTATAGTCTAGTCTATAGTCTAGTCTATAGTCTAGTCTATAGTCTATTATATAGTCTATTATATAGTCTAGTCTATAGTCTAGTCTATAGTCTAGTCTATAGTCTAGTCTATAGTCTAGTCTATAGTCTAGTCTATAGTCTAGTCTATAGTCTAGTCTATAGTCTAGTCTATAGTCTAGTCTATAGTCTAGTCTATAGTCTAGTCTATAGTCTAGTCTATAGTCTAGTCTAGTCTAGTCTATAGTCTAGTCTATAGTCTAGTCTATAGTCTAGTCTATAGTCTAGTCTATAGTCTAGTCTATAGTCTAGTCTATAGTCTAGTCTATAGTCTAGTCTATAGTCTAGTCTATAGTCTAGTCTATAGTCTAGTCTATAGTCTAGTCTATAGTCTAGTCTATAGTCTAGTCTATAGTCTAGTCTATAGTCTAGTCTATAGTCTAGTCTATAGTCTAGTCTATAGTCTAGTCTATAGTCTAGTCTATAGTCTAGTCTATAGTCTAGTCTATAGTCTAGTCTATAGTCTAGTCTAGTCTATAGTCTAGTCTATAGTCTAGTCTATAGTCTAGTCTATAGTCTAGTCTATAGTCTAGTCTATAGTCTAATCTATAGTCTAGTCTATAGTCTAGTCTATAGTCTAGTCTATAGTCTAGTCTATAGTCTAGTCTATAGTCTAGTCTATAGTCTAGTCTATAGTCTAGTCTATAGTCTAGTCTATAGTCTAGTCTATAGTCTAGTCTATAGTCTAGTCTATAGTCTAGTCTATAGTCTAGTCTATAGTCTAGTCTATAGTCTAGTCTATAGTCTAGTCTATAGTCTAGTCTATAGTCTAGTCTATAGTCTAGTCTATAGTCTAGTCAATAGTCTAGTCTATAGTCTAGTCTATAGTCTAGTCTATAGTCTAGTCTATAGTCTAGTCTAGTCTATAGTCTAGTCTATAGTCTAGTCTATAGTCTAGTCTATAGTCTAGTCTATAGTCTAGTCTATAGTCTAGTCTATAGTCTAGTCTATAGTCTAGTCTATAGCCTAGTCTATAGTCTAGTCTATAGTCTAGTCTATAGTCTAGTCTATAGTCTAGTCTATAGTCTAGTCTATAGTCTAGTCTATAGTCTAGTCTATAGTCTAGTCTATAGTCTAGTCTATAGTCTAGTCTATAGTCTAGTCTATAGTCTAGTCTATAGTCTAGATAGTCTAGTCTATAGTCTAGTCTATAGTCTAGTCTATAGTCTAGTCTATAGTCTAGTCTAGTCTAGTCTATAGTCTAGTCTATAGTCTAGTCTATAGTCTAGTCTATAGTCTAGTCTATAGTCTAGTCTATAGTCTAGTCTATAGTCTAGTCTATAGTCTAGTCTATAGTCTAGTCTATAGTCTAGTCTATAGTCTAGTCTATAGTCTAGTCTATAGTCTAGTCTATAGTCTAGTCTATAGTCTAGTCTATAGTCTAGTCTATAGTCTAGTCTATAGTCTAGTCTATAGTCTAGTCTATAGTCTAGTCTATAGTATAGTCTAGTCTATAGTCTAGTCTAGTCTATCGTCTAGTCTATAGTCTAGTCTATAGTCTAGTCTATAGTCTAGTCTATAGTCTAGTCTATAGTCTAGTCTATAGTCTAGTCTATAGTCTAGTCTATAGTCTAGTCTATAGTCTAGTCTATAGTCTAGTCTATAGTCTAGTCTATAGTCTAGTCTATAGTCTAGTCTATAGTCTAGTCTATAGTCTAGTCTATAGTCTAGTCTATAGTCTAGTCTATAGTCTAGTCTATAGTCTAGTCTATAGTCTAGTCTATAGTCTAGTCTATAGTCTAGTCTATAGTCTAGTCTATAGTCTAGTCTATAGTCTAGTCTATAGTCTAGTCTATAGTCTAGTCTATAGTCTAGTCTATAGTCTAGTCTATAGTCTAGTCTATAGTCTAGTCTATGGTCTAGTCTATAGTATAGTCTATGGTCTTGTCTATAGTCTAGTCTATAGTCTAGTCTATAGTCTAGTCTATAGTCTAGTCTATGGTCTAGTCTATAGTCTAGTCTATAGTCTAGTCTATAGTCTAGTCTACAGTCTAGTCTATAGTCTAGTCTATAGTCTAGTCTATAGTCTAGTCTATAGTCTAGTCTATAGTCTAGTCTATAGTCTAGTCTATAGTCTAGTCTATAGTCTAGTCTATAGTCTAGTCAATTGTCGAGTCTATAGTCTAGTCTATAGTCTAGTCTATAGTCTAGTCTATAGTCTAGTCTATAGTCTAGTCTATAGTCTAGTCTATAGTCTAGTCTATAGTCTAGTCTATAGTCTAGTCTATAGTCTAGTCTATAGTCTAGTCTATAGTCTAGCCTATAGTCTAGTCTATAGTCTAGTCTATAGTCTAGTCTATAGTCTAGTCTATAGTCTAGTCTATAGTCTAGTCTCTAGTCTATAGTCTAGTCTATAGTCTAGTCTATAGACTAGACTATAGTCTAGTCTATAGTCTAGTCTATAGTCTAGTCTATAGTCTAGTCTATAGTCTAGTCTATAGTCTAGTCTATAGTCTAGTCTATAGTCTAGTCTATAGTCTAGTCTATAGTCTAGTCTATAGTCTAGTCTGTAGTCTAGTCTATAATCTAGTCTATAGTCTAGTCTGCAGTCTAGTCTATAGTCTAGTCTATAATCTAGTCTATAGTCTAGTCTATAGTCTAGTTTATAGTCTAGTCTATAGTCTAGTCTATAGTCTAGTCTATAGTCTAGTCTATAGTCTAGTCTATAGTCTAGTCTATAGTCTAGTCTATAGTCTAGTCTATAGTCTAGTCTATAGTCTAGTCAATAGTCTAGTCTATAGTCTAGTCTATAGTCTAGTCTATAGTCTAGTCTATAGTCTAGTCTATAGTCTAGTCTATAGTCTAGTCTATAGTCTAGTCTATAGTCGAATCTATAGTCTAGTCTATAGTCTAGTCTATAGTCTAGTCTATAGTCTAGTCTGTAGTCTAGTCTATAATCTAGTCTATAGTCTAGTCTGCAGTCTAGTCTATAGTCTAGTCTATAATCTAGTCTATAGTCTAGTTTATAGTCTAGTCTATAGTCTAGTCTATAGTCTAGTCTATAGTCTAGTCTATAGTCTAGTCTATAGTCTAGTCTATAGTCTAGTCTATAGTCTAGTCTATAGTCTAGTCTATAGTCTAGTCTATAGTCTAGTCTATAGTCTAGTCTATAGTCTAGTCTATAGTCTAGTCTATAGTCTAGTCTATAGTCTAGTCTATAGTCTAGTCTATAGTCTAGTCTATAGTCTAGTCTATAGTCTAGTCTATAGTCTAGTCTATAGTCTAGTCTATAGTCTAGTCTATAGTCTAGTCTATAGTCTAGTCTATAGTCTAGTCTATAGTCTAGTCTATAGTCTAGTCTATAGTCTAGTCTATAGTCTAGTCTATAGTCTAGTCTATAGTCTAGTCTATAGTCTAGTCTATAGTCTAGTCTAGTATAGTCTATAGTCTAGTCTATAGTCTAGTCTATAGTCTAGTCTATAGTCTAGTCTATAGTCTAGTCTATAGTCTAGTCTATAGTCTAGTCTATAGTCTAGTCTATAGTCTAGTCTAGTCTAGTCTATAGTCTAGTCTATAGTCTAGTCTATAGTCTAGTCTATAGTCTAGTCTATAGTCTAGTCTATAGTCTAGTCTATAGTCTAGTCTATAGTCTAGTCTATAGTCTAGTCTATAGTCTAGTCTATAGCCTAGTCTATAGTCTAGTCTATTGTCTAGTCATAGTCTAGTCTATAGTATAGTCTATGGCCTAGTCTATAGTATAGTCTATAGTCTAGTCTATAGTCTAGTCTATAGTCCTAGTCTATAGTCTAGTCTATAGTCTAGTCTATAGTCTAGTCTATAGTCTAGTCTATAG